TGCCTGTTATTTTCTATACGTAGATTAATTACTTAATCCTAGTTTCTTTGGTTTGCCATCCATGTAGGTGGGAAAATAGTGTCTATTCTGTTTTCCCACTAAGAGATGATAACACAGGAGGTAATAAGAGAACATTTGTGTTATGAGATCCTCGGAAGAAACATTGAAAATAAATCTAAGATCTTACATTAGGATATGAATGATTCATATGCCTAAGCCATACTTATATACGAAATATATTTCCATTTTTCTCCAGAAAATACCAAACTCTCATAGACATAACAGTGAATCATGTCAGACTTTTTTTTTTTTTTGACTGGGACCACAATTTGACATAGTCAAAAAAGAAAGACTAAGAACAAAAGTCTATTACTCTTCCCTTTTCCTCCCTTTTCAACCAAGGTTGACAGGCTGGTGATTGAAAAGAAATCTATGTAATCAATGTAAACTTGGAACACTGTCTCTGATAGTCACCTGTGCTGGATTCTCTCCAGCTATGACACACTGAACAGTATGTCTGGAAGTTCCCACTCATAGACAGGGCAGGCTTATTTTCACCTGTTTCCACACCTGTATTCCTTCCCACCTTCAACCATGGCACCTGAACAGACACAAACGCCAATCACTGTGCTTGCTTCATGACAGATTTATGGAGAGGATGTCAGGTTATTGTACTCTCTCCTCTCCTGCCTGAGGTAGGAAGCCAGAATGCTAACTTGCAATGCTTTGCTCCTTGGGGATGAGCTCCCCTTGGACTCTGCTTAAACAAGGAAGAAAGGGTCCGAATGGGGAGGTAAATAGGTGGGAGTTCAGATCACTGCTCTGTGTTTCCTAGTAGTGATCCATTTGGTTCACAGAACCTATGCTGTATCCCACAACACAAAACACGAATTCATGTTGGGAAGGAAAACCCTGTAGAACCATCCACATGTGGAGCAGGTGTTCATATGGCCTCAACGACAGGTGTCAAGCATAAGGCAGAACTCAGACTGGAGCCCAGATCTAGCCAACCCCAGAGTCTGTGTTCTTAGCCGTATCATCCTATACAGCCCTCTAATGCCCTTGTCCCAGATGCCCCCGGGCTCCCCTGTGTTAGGGGCCTCGGATCTGTGACCCCTCACATGCTCTGTTTAGGGTCCTGGCAGAAATACCTGCTGCCTGGCCCACATTCACTATCCAGAAGAGCTTGTCCGTCTCCAATTCCGGGTGTCATTTCACCCTGAAAATGGGAGTGAATATGGGAGGTGATGACTTTACTGCTCTGTGGCATCTAGATGGACTCAAGACTCAAGGACTTGCCCTTCCTGTGCTCTAGTCTATTTGCTGTGAGACTCAGAGCATCCCGAGGGAAGAACCTGGAGCTTCTTCATGCTGGTTTTCCTGTTCCTATGGCTGGGCCAGGCACATTGTGGGTGCTCAAATAATATTGGCTGGATAGGGAAAAGGACAGAGGGGTGCATGGGTGGTGAAAGCTCTCTTAATTCTCAGTTTTCCCCCAAGGAGGGACAGTTCTAATCAGGCTGGGAGAGTTTGTGGAGAGACAGAGAGCAAAAGAACACGCCAAAAATAACATAGAGGGCCATATCATACTCCAAAGGAAGCCATGATCCTCCCACTGACACAATCACTTCACACCCCACTGCAGCCTGATTCTCTCCCTAGCACCCACTTCACACTCCACAGTAATTAACCGATCTCCCTGTACAACCCTTTCCCACGTCATGTAAACCCCAGCCCTCCCTCCCCATAAACCCTGGCATTCCAGAGCAAACCCCAGGCTCCCACCCACGCAACCACTGCCCACTCCACACCAGGCACCACTCCTCCGCTCCACACGTATTTGACATGAAGGGTGAGCCCTGGGGTTTCCCCTCTGAAGCACTTCCCCACCTCTGCTGCCACCTCACACTCCCTGGGAAGTGTGACTTCTCACTGCACGTCTGCCCACCTCAGTCCCATGACAAGTCCAGTCCTCTCTCCACGAAACCAGTTACCCTCCACTTCAAGCACCGTCACCCTCACTACAAGGGCTCCTCACTGAAGAGTGAACCCCAGTCTTCTCTCTCGCACCCCTCACCTTCCAAACCACACCCATCCTTCTCACCCACAGCCCCTTCACGCTCCACATGATCCCAAGTCCTCCCTCCTCGAAATATGTCACGGTCACCTCCACTCAACCCTCTCACAAGTGCTGGACTCCTCCCAGGGAACCGCAAAGCTCCCGCACTGCGATCCCTTCACACTCCACAGTAAAAGCCAGTCCACCCAGGCTGAACCCCTTCAGGGCCAAACTCTTACCTCCGCCATCCCCTGACATCCACAGTCATATCCACTTTTCCCTCTCCACGAATACCACACACTCTACAGGAAACCCCAACCCTGCTCACCCCCAACCCCCTCACGTTCCCCAACAGACTGCAGCCCATCCATCCTCATAACATGTGCATACTTCATGATTAGCACACCTCTGCCACCATCCCTGGGCACAGCAGAGAAACCCAGTGCTCCATCCCTACAACCACTTCTCCCTGACAGTCGGTCCCTCTCAATCCTTTCTCCCCATGGTTATTTCACACTCCACCTAAGTTCAAAACCTCACACCCCACCCTAAACACCAGTCCTCCTGCCCCTGCAGTCGTGTTACCATCCACAATGAAGACTGACCCGTTCACCCCACAACAACTTCACGTCCCACAGAACCACAGACAGCCCTATTACTTCATCCTCCTGCCAACCATGTCCCACTTCCCAGAGAACCTTCCCCTCCCCCTCCCTCTCTCTGGGTCCCTCTTTCTCATCATTCATCCTGGGGGAAGCAACCTGCCTGTCATAGGTACACTTGGGCCACCTATGGATAGGGAGCCAAGGCCCCCTTCCAGCAGCTGTGGGAGAGAGCCATCCTCAGAACAGGTTCTCCAGCCCAGGCTGGCATGGCTCAGTTGATTGAGCACCGCCTGAAAACCACTGGTTTATTTCCTGGTCGGGGCACAGTCTGGGTTGCAGGCGGGGTCTCCTGTCCGGGGGCATGCGAGAGGCAACCAATAGAGGTTTCTCTCTCACATCAGTGTTTCTTTTTTGTTATGTTTAATTTTTTTTATTATTGTTATTCAACATACCTTTGTCTTGTTCCTGATCTTAGTGGGAAAAGTTTTAGATGTTGCCAATTGAGTATGATGTTGGCTGTAGGTCTCACATCTACAGCCTTTATTATGTTGAGGAATGCTCCCTCTATTCCCACTTTGCTCAGTGTTTTTATCATAAATCAGTGTTGCACTTTATCAAATGCTTTTTCCACATCTATTGATAGGATCAGGTGATTTTTGCCCTTCCTTTTGTTTATGTGGTGTAATGCATTCATTGATTTCCAAATATTGTACCATCCTTGCATCCCTGGGATGAATCCCACTTGATCATGGTGTATGATCTTTTAATGTATTGCTGCATGTGGTTTGCCAATATTTTGTTGAGGATTTTAGCGTCTATGTTCATCAGTCATATTGGCATGTACTTTTCTTTCTTTGTTGTGTCTTTATCCGATTATAGGGTTAGGATGAGTCTGGCCTCATAAAAAGAGTTTGAGAGTCTTCCCCCTTCTTGGGTTCTGAGAGTCTGAGAAGAGTAGAGCTTAGCTCTTCCTTAAATGTTTTGTAAAATCCTCCTGTGAAACTGCCCAATCCAGGGCTTTTATGTGCCAGGAGTTTTTGGAATAAGCTTCAATTTCACCAGCTCCTACACTCTGTTCAGGCTTTCTTCTTCTTCTTCATTCAGTTTTGGGAGATTACATGTTTCTAGAAATCTGTCCATTTCACCCAGGTTTTCAAATTTCTTGGCATATAGTTGTTCATAGTAATTTCTTACAATCCTTTGCATTTATGTGCTATCAGTTGTCATTTCTCCTCTTTCATTTCTGATTTTATTCATTTGGGTACTCACACTTTTTTCTTGTTGAGTCTGTTTAAAAGTTTGTCCTTTGTTTATGTTTTCAAAGAACCAGCTCTTGGGTTTATTGATCCTTTGCATTGTTCTTTTAGTCTCTGTGTCATTTAATTCTGCTCTGATTTTGATTATTTCCTTCCTTGTACTCGTTCTCGGCTTTGTTTGTTGTTGTTCCTCCAGTTCTTGTAGATGTAGGGTTAGGTTGTTTAGTTGAAATGTTTCTATCTTTTTTACATAGGCCTCTAGTGCTATGAACTTCCCTCTCAGACCTGCCTTCTCTGTGTCCCATAAGTTTTGGACTATTCTCTGTTCATTTTTATTCATTTCCAGAAACTTTCTGATTTATCTCTTGATCGCATTATTAACTAATTCATTGTTTAATAAAATGCCATTCAGTCTCCATGAGTTTGAGTGTTTTTCAGTTTTTTCCTTGAGGTTGGTTTTTTGTTTCAAGCCCTTGTGGTCCAAAAAAGTGCTTGATATGATTTCAAATTTTCTTGAATTTGTTAAGGCTTGCTTTGTGTCCTATCATGTGGTCTATCCTTGAAAATGTTCCATGTGCATTTGAAAAGAATGTGTATTTGCTTCTCTGGAGTGAAAAGATCTTTATATAGCAGTTCAATCCATTTGATCTAATACGTCATTCAGTTCCACAATCTTCTTGTTGATGTTTGGTTTGGAAGATCTGTCCATTCCTGACAGTGGGGTGTTCAAACCCCCTACTATAAATGTGCTACTGTCTATATCTTTCTTGAAGTCCTCTGAGATTTTTCTTCTATATTTGGGTGCTCCTGTGTGGGTACATGTATCACATTGATGTTTCTCTCCCTCTTTCTCTCCCTCATATCCCCGCTCTATAAAAATAAATAAATTTTCAAAACAAAACAAAAATAACTAAAACAGGTTCTCCAGCTGCAGGGCAACCTTGGGTCCACTGGGGCCTCTGCCTCGGTCAGGCGGCCTTCACGGGGGGAACCCATGCTCAATGAAAGGAGTCAAACAGACAAAGACCAAGCTGGACAGCATTTATGTGTGGAACCTGAAACTCCCCGCACAACCACACATGCAGAAAACGGCCTGGCGGCGTCTGCAGCAGAAGACAGCACCAGGGCCAATGGCAGCCTCCGTGGGCTGACCCAGTGGACTGGCCCCGGGCCTGCCCACCAGGGGGCTCAGGCCTCAGCCAGCCGCTGCAGCACAGACAGGGCCCCATACAGGGCAGACAGGGGCTTCTTGGCTCCCAGATCCCAGGTTGACCTGGGGCTCTGCAGCTCCATCTTCAGGCCACACTCTTCCAGCAGACCGTAGGTTATGGCCAAACCCTCCCCCTGCAGGGGGGCGAGCAGCTCGGGTTTAAGGGTGAAGGGAATGCTCCAAGGGTATTTGAAGTTGGGCTCCAGGATGCTCCTCACCTTAAAGAAACAGGATCAGCTGTTACAGGTCAGCCTTGAGGTCAGGAAGGGGGAACCTTCAGTCCCAGGAGCCAGGGGTCATGCAGGACAACTACAAGGGCAGGAGGTCTGGAGTCACGTCCTGGCCCTGTCTTGTGATCGGTGTGACCAAGGACATGTTATTGCAACTCCTTGAGCCCCGGTTCCTCAGCTGTTACATAGTGACCCTAACATCTACCCTACAGAATGGTGGTGTTTGGAATAGTATATGTGAGTGCTTCTGTGTACCATGTGTGTATGAATATGCATGTGTCATGCATGCATGTCCCTGTATAACATACATGGGGACAGAGAGCATGCAATGTGCAAAGGGTAACCATGTGTGTAAAGCAGGGGTGTAACCCAGACACCCTGAGCTCCCCAGCCCTGTATCCTATACGGTTATTTGAGAACTGGTGGGGGCTCTGCAGGGGTTGTCATGGAAACAGAGACCTTCCCCAGGCAGACTCATGACCACAGGGCCTGCTCCCGGAGGCAGATGCAGCCCAGGTTTCCTGGTGGCCACACTGGGACTTTGTCTCCTTCCCAGCAGAAACCAGATTCTTCTCTCTCTCCTCAGAATCATTCTTATCTCTGGTTCCCTCAGCCTCTCCCAGGATGCTGGCCCCTGGGGATTTCTCACCAGATCCCGCTGCTGGGAGAGGATCTTCTTCTCCATGGATTGGGCCAGCAGACAGTGCTGGATGTCACTCAGCGCTGCGGACAGGGGACATTTGGGGAAAGACAGTCAGATATTCCTTTCCCCCTAGTGAGGCGAACTCTAAGGCAGAGGAATAAGACTCCTTAGCCTTGGAGGTCAAGTTCCCTGCCCTGGGAAGGCCTCCTTCAGCTCTTGGGACAGTCTCCAGGATGCTCCCTGACATGGTCCAGAGGGTGGATTCTGTGGCTGCAGCCTGGGACCATCCACCCTCAGTGATACATGGGATGAACCTGGGCTGCTCTTTCTAGCTCTTTCTGTGTCATGTGGCAAGTTTCTCACACTAGGCCCTGCTGACCTTGGAGAGAAGTGTGAGGTGGGGGTGAAAAATCATAACATTTCAAGGGTTTTGAAGAAATGGCAGCCCTTCTGGGGTCTCTGGGACACCAACCTTGTGACCCCCCACAATGTCCTTCCAAATCACTCTTACCCATGATGGCTTCAAGCAGGTAAAGGATGAGGTGCTGTGAGCCATTATATGCATAGCTGGAGTCCTTTTGCAGTTCATTTAGGATGGTGCCACCAGGGCCATCCAAATGACCCTGCAAGGGTTCTTGTTCAAGCTATAGGAGACAGGTACTATTAATGAGGATGACAATACCATGTAATTTTGCCTGCAGATGCTGTGTTTATAAGTGAGTAACCAAGGAGCAGGGTGAGGGCTCCATACAGCCCCTGGGGACACTGAGCACCGTCACTCAGTGTGGGCTGCACTCCCTGGCCCTGCTCACTGGTGACAGAGCCATGGTCCCCAGTCTCAGACATCCCCTCAGCCCCCTGAGATGACCCCATTCTTGTTTCCCCATATATCTCGGCAGTCGGATCTCTGAAACATCCCCCATTTACAAGTCTGATCAGCTTCCGTAGCAGTGGGACCCCTCACCGTGTCCATGAGGTCCTGGAGGGCCTCGCGGTTCCCCAGCATGGCCAGGATGTTGGAGAACACAACGTCCTCGATGTCCTTTGAGAACTGGTCCACTGCGCTTACTTCCCGGGAAACCTCCTGTTGTAGGCGCTTGAAATCTGTCCTCGGACAAGAAAATGAAGACAACTCTTAGATGAGAACAGTCCTTTCCCATCACCATAAGCAAAATTCTTCTCCCCTTTAAGCAGCTGGCCCCCAGCATCTCTGAGGGTGGCATGTTTGAGCTCCACGATGGAGCTGCCATAACAGGCCAGAGGGATGGAAAATCTCAGCTGAAATGAGGTGGGCGATAAATGCTGGGAGGGGAGAAGAGGGTTCTGGAAAGGGGTCATGGGAAGAGGAAGAAACTGAGCAGGTGCTCATTTCTGGGACACGTCTGACATAATGAGGACTCTAGATTACACTCCACAGAAGAGAATGCTGGATGTTCTAGCATCGGACTCCAAAATGAGGCTATCATGACAACCACATGAATCTATGGATATAAAGTGCTCAGTACTGCATGCAATTGTGCCTGTGCCTCTAGGTCTGTAAAGAATTAACCAAGGAATGGAGGACACCTGAGGCTGCCTCCAGGTGTGCTCCTGGGAGTGAGAAGTCACTAGAATGAAAGTGTCAGGGAGGCAGGATTCCTGTTTGGTTCACTGCCCAAGCCCCACAGCTCAGAATAACAACACCCAAGAGGTCCTCCATAAAAGTTTCCTGCTTGCATTCAGGAAGGGAGGAAGGGAGGGAGGAAGTGAGGGATGAAGGAAGGAGTTAATTAGTGGGGCTGACCAAACTGTAAATTCAGAAGTAAAGCTCAGTTTTCTGAGTTGCTTGGAAACCTCCGATTTGGGTTCTGAGCTTTGCAGTTTCCTACCCAGCACGCCTTACAATCCCTCTTAATAAACACTCACCAGTCAAGGGAGGCTCCTGTATTCTTTCTACAAAGAGAAAGACAAGTGGTTATCTCCCTTCCTCATCCCCCAAATGTGCTCTAGAGACACTTCCGAGGGTTCTTCTCTCCACTGCCCCCTCCCTCTTGCTTAACCTCTTCCTGCCCCATCTCTCAGCCCTCCCCACCCTCCCTGGCCCTTCCCACCCCACAGAAACATGGCCAGGGTCCAGGCCATGGTGGAAAAGGCAGGGACACATGGCCCTGCTCCCCAGAGTACAAATAGGACCCCTCCACAACCCCAGCAAACACACACTCACGTATTGGTTCGATGAAACACACTGTGTTGCCTAGAAGAGAAATTAAATTCCCCAGGCAAGAGTTAGTCTCTGCCAACTCTCCCTTTCTCTTTCTACCACCTACTCCCCAACACCCTTTTTCCATCCTCCCTGCCCTTTCCTGGGAGAGCCCGAGCCAGGTGGCTCAGGTGAGGATGGCAAAGGCAATCGAGGGTTTTAGTTGGGCATAATGGGGCCTCGTGGAGGGACAACATTATACTTTCCTGGTACTAAAGGGATGCTTATTGTCAATGAGCGGGTTTGGTACTGCATTTCTGGAAAGTAAAAAAGAAGTCATCACTTATAACACCTTAGTCTCTGCTCCCCGCAACACACACACTCATTCACACACATTCCAACCCAGGTCCTCAAAGCAGATAGGTGGCAGTCCCTGTGACCAGGGAGAGGCCTGTGTCTAAGTCACAGCAGCGGAGACCGGGACATGGTAGGGGAGCCTGGCTGGGGAAGGTTTGCCTGTGGGCGTGATGGGGCTGAGCCCCCAGCAGGGTTTTTATAGGGTCCAAAGTGGGTCACAGGCTCAGCGGGGCCTGAGGTCTAAGCAGAGAACCTGCTCAACTCACCTACTGGAAAGGTCTCCTCTTCAACATCTGAGACCTCAACAATCTCTGGGTGGGAAGAAGCCAGGTCAGCACAGCCGGGGTTTCCCCTGCTGGAGCCTCTCACATCCCCACCCCTGCAGCCCCCACACCTCCTCCCCCAGGACAGGTGTGACAGCTTTTCTCAGGGTTGGGGACCCTCACATCAGAATCACCTGGGGAAACTCAGGGTCCCTGACCTTTCCATATCTTCAGAATCCATCTCTCTAAAGAGGAAGCTACAACCTGCCTTGTCAATAAGCACCTGGGTGGTGGGTGTCAGCTCCGGTCTCCCATTTCACCGGGAACAGAAACCGTCTTCCTTCCTGCTGCCCTTCATCTTACTCTCCCGAAGGGCCCCCCTCACAAGTCTACACCCCCAGTCAGGCCTGCTTCCTGGCTGATTTCACAGAGAAACATTCAAAGTTCTGAAACCTGCCTAACAATCAGATTTAAGTGCCTGACAGGGGACAGGAGCCCATTGATGCGTTTGACAGGGAGCAGGAGCCCATGAAGGAAGAAGGAGCAGAAACAGTCCCGTTAAAGGACACCCCGTAGATCACGGTGGGGTGGCCTCCAGGGAGAGAGGATCTCCAAGGAGGGGTGATGGAGGGTGTGCTCCCTGGTGACAACGTGGAGTGAGTTCGCCGGAGGGCAGGCTGCAGCGGGTGGAGGGGTGGACGCCAGGGAGGGAGGGGGCAGAGTGTGGAAGATTCTGTAGGGACGTTGGCTGTGAGGACACACTTGGGTGAGGAGGCTTCTGAGATGGCAGGGACCCATCTTGCCGCCAGGTCATGGGAGGGTCCAGGCGAGTGGAGAGAGGGGAGATACATTTGGGTCGCCACTCTCTCAGACATTGATCTCTACCAGCCCTGGAGAGAAGGTCTCACTTTCATTCAGAGGTAAGATGGGAGACAGAGGAATTGTGATTTCCCCCAAAGCTACACAGCAAGCAAACAATGGCAAATCATTGGACAGTGCTGCACATTATTTTCCTCTCCGATTTGTCATGAGGATGAAATTACTTCACGGAAGTGCAACGCTTACTGCACTGAGCCCTTAAGCAGTAATTGTAGAAACGGGCAAGTGCCACGCGCCCCCTAGTGGGCAGGACATGGCTTGCAGGCACTGCTGTGAGGTCAGCCATCTGGTCCCACTCCATTTAAGTCACACTTGTCAGCACTCACACAGCATGGATTTGAAGACGGAGCTGAGCCACTGACCCCAAAGATTGGAGACTTTTCCCTCATTCTGTCTGTGGCCACTGACAGTTGGTCCGTGACAGAAGGACCCTCCCTTAACCAGATGTTCTATTGAAGCTTCTACAGGGAAGTGTGTGTGTATGTGTGTATGTGTGTGTGTGAGAGAGTGTGTGTGAGAGAGAGAGAGAGAGAGAGAGAGATGGAACGTGTTTGTTATGTGTGGTGAGGGCACCCTTCAACCTCTGAGGAACTGGATCCCAGCTGTATCAGGCTGACCTCCACCTGGGACTCAGCATTAGGGCTGGGAGGGGCCAAGGACCCTGAGCTGGTTGTGTTTGTAGCGCCCTCACTCCTCTCTGCTTTGTAGGTACTTCTTCATGAAAGTTTTCTCCTGCATGGAGTCAGAACCCTAAGTGTGTGTGTTGGGGAACTGTGCATTTTGAGGCTCCTGAGGAGGGAGAAATGTCGATACAACTCTTCATTACACAGTCTGGGCACGACATCCACAGATTTGTTCCTGAATGGGCCACTCTCTATGGGCTTCCCCGTGGGGGCAGAGGTAACCTGGGAGGGCTCTGTGGCTCCCCAAGGTGAGCTGCTGAGAGTGGTGGGACCTTCACTGGTTGGGATTAGAATCATGCTCTGCCCAGTGCCAAACACACCCTGGAGATTCACACCCCATTACACCCTCTCCACGTAGGATACTGTCTCTCTACATGCGCACAGCAACATTTCAGTGGGGCCCTGCTTGCAGGTGCTGTGCGTGGTGAGAATGTGTGTGCCCTGGACAGCTGAGGAATGCTGCTGCTCTCTCTGAACAGGCGGGGAAGCAACGGTTCCCTGACGATGGTCCGTCCCTCCTCATTTCTGTCCCCAGGAGAAGCAGACTCCCACTCCCCTCCTGCCTCCCTCAGCCCCTGCTTACCCCAGCTGTTCCCCTTGAACACCAGCTGCTTCCTCTTATAGGCCATCACCAAGCCCTTTGGCACAGTATGCTTCCTCTTGCTCACCTGGTGAACCCTGCCCCCTCCTCCAACCTGGGGGCAGAAACCAGGCATAATAACATCATCACACATGCATGTGGCCTTAAAAGTCAAACACATCTAGACAGCTCATGAGAAAAGGAATCAGCAGCCCCCTGCACTTACCCTCTCTACTCCTGATTTCTCATTCCTGCCCGTTTTTCCTTGCTTCTTCCTATATTTACCTTCAGATCTCTCAATTTCATGTTGATGTTGAGATGAATTCATTGATTTCTGATTCAGTATATCTAGTCACTTCCTCTTTTTCATGATGAGGGTTCTGTTTTCTACTCTTTATAAAAGCTGAAGCAATTGATAAAAGGGAAACACCAATTCCAGCCTCTCGTGGGCTTCTATGCAGGGCAAGGGAGATATCCAACCCTACCTCCCTCTAGCCGTCCTGACACATTAAAGGGGAGAAAGTGCTGAAAAGTTCTTGTGAGTTCCCAGCCTGGGACACAGGCTCACTAAAACAAAACTGGGACCTCTTCAGGGAACTATAAAGTACTTCCCTCCTAACATATCCTATCACAATATCAGTAAAGGCTGATTGACCAGAGTTCCTTTCATCATGTGTATCATATCCAACTTTCAACAAGAAAATTACAAGGCATGTTCAAAGGCAACAAACAACTGTTTGAAGAGACAGAGCAGGCTGAGAATCAGACTCAGTTATAGCATGGATCTTGGAATTTTAGACAGGGAATTTTAAACCACTGTGATGATTTTGGTAAAAGATTCAGTGGAAATCATAGACAAAATGCAAGTGCCGATGAGTAAGGTAAGAAGAGAGATGGAATCCTAAGGAAAAAAAAATAAATAAATGCTAAGAGATCAAAAGATACCATAACAGTAATAAGAATGTCTTTGATTGGCCCATTAGTAGACTGGACACAAGTAAGAGGAAAATTTCAGCACTTGAAGATGCATTGATAGAAACCTCAAAACTATAAAGTAAAGGGAAAAGTGACTGAAAAAAATGGAGCATAATACCCAAGAACTGCGAACTCAGTACAAAAGTTGTAATATATGTGTAATGAGAATATAAGGAAAAGAAAGAGAGAAAGGAATAGAAGAAATATTAGAAGCAATAAAAATTAAGGATTTCCCCCAAATTAACACCATAGATCCCATAAACTCAGAGAACTCCAACCAAGATAAATAAAAATTAAAATTTAAAAATCTTATACCTATAAATTCAAATTGCAGAAAATCACAGATAAAGAAAACACATTAAAAGTCACAGGATATTGAAAAAAGTCAGATACTACTTATCTACTGTTGTTTGCACTATTTATTTTTATGAATCTATACCTTGTTCAACAGGAACATGACAATAAGTTATTTGATGATACAAGTAAGATTCCATATCTTGCTATAAAAGCAACATGGATTTTAGCTCTACCAAAAAAGAATAAACTTATTTGAATTTTGTAAACTTTTTTATTATTATATAGCTCTTCCATTTAATTTATTGTGGTAAAAAAAAGTAATATCTTCCCCATTTTTAAGTGGACAATACAGTATGGCGTTTTCATTTTATTTGTCTTGGATATTTTCTGACCTCCCTTGTGGTATCTTCTTTGACGCACTGGGGGTTCAAGACTATGTATCTTCATGCCCATATGTGTGTGAATGTGCTCTATTTCCTCCTGTTATTAATCTCTAGTTTCACTCCATTGTGGCCAGAAAGGATACTTGGTGTATCGTCAGTCTTCTTAAACCCAGTAAGACTGATAGGGAGGCCTCACATGTGAGCGATGCTGCAGAATGTTCCGTGTGTACTCGGGTAGAGTGTGCGTGATACTCTGCTGTGTGTTCTTATGTGTCTGTTACAGAATATACCTCAATTGGTGTGCATGGTGCTCTGCAGGTCCTCCGTTTCCTTGTGGATCTTTTGTCTGATCGACCAAAACAAAGTGGCTGCAGCCACGAACCAGGAGTGATGTGCGAACTGTTTAACGACATCACAGCCCATGGCCAACCTTTAGAGCTGCGCTGGCTCTGAACAGGTGTGACCGTGGCGCTGGACACCAATAAGCAGCTGCCCTCTGTGAAATGGCTCAGGGTTTTCCCCTGTTCTCAGAAAGCCAAGTTTACCAACCCAAGCAGATGGAAACCCAAAGCTGAATGTCAGTATATCCTTTAAACTGGAGTAAGATTTTACTTGGTCCAAACATTCCTCCTCCAGGACAAAATCACCAGCCTTGGAGAAATTAGTTCACAATTAGATGTTTTTCCTTGAGTTTCTAAATCTTCTAAGTGAGGACCAACTACACATAAAATATGTAATGTGTAAAAGCACATTATAACACCTACAAACTAATAAATGAATTTTTGTATGATTAAAAGTATTATTGTTGGTTACTGTGAGTGAGTTATATAAATTCTACGTGCTTGAAGGTATTTAAGTCTTGCTCCATCAACTCTTCTCAGGATGTCATGGCATTTAGGGAGGTTTGGTATTAGCATAAAACTTGACATGTATATAGTACAGCATCCATCTCTTTAGATGAACTATAATTCACCACTTACCCAAAACAAATATGTAATTGTGTAATACCACATAATTAAACCTATATCCTATTTTATTGTATCTTGATGCCCATCTCATACCTTAGCAAAAGCGTTCACAAGTAACGAGAGAGTTCCTGAGATATTCACAGTGCTGCAATCCTCCATCACACAACTGTCACGCAGTTCTATGACCTCAGTCACAACATAGAGATTTGTTCCTGTTCTCCGGCATTGCTTCAGAAATGGGGGTTCTGAGTCCACCACTTTCCTGGGGCAGGGGGAGGAGGAGAGGGTCAGAGTGGGAAATGATGCCTTCCTGGGTTACCCTGGGTTACTGTCCTCATCAGGACCTGGAAGGGGTGCAGAGACTTTGGCCTTTGACAGGTGATCCCTCTCTGGGAAGAAAGATATTGACATATGTGTTAAGTTACCAAGGAAAGAAGAACATCTTCTTTGCCTGCAGGGTGGATATGCCACCACTTCCTGATGGGGGTATGGGAAGGAGAGTATCCAGGATATTTTGTGAAAAGTATCTGCATTTTCCAAAATCATATGGGTCTTGTTGGAGGGTAGATTACACATATCCAGTGTGCCAGGACCTCTCACCTGAGGAGACTGGAAGTAGACAGGTGCACATGGCTGACCAGAGCTCTACTATCAAAGCCGGGAACCCACAGTCACCATCGTCCAGAAGCACACAATCAGGGTGGGAGGGGGATAAAACTGATAAATACGATGAAGCATGGAAGAATCTGGATGATTACTCACAACCAGCACATGGGGGTGTTTATAGATTAACTGTCCTTGGTAAGTGGCTGGTAGGGCGGACTTGAAGACATAGGTGTGTGCAGGGGACATGACAGCTTTGAAGTCTTGAACACAGATTTCATCTCCATTGCAGCTCTGAGACTCAGCTCTGGTTCTTCTTAAGGCCCCACCAGGGTAGGCCCCGTGGATGACAGCCTAGTGCAACTCGAGGGACCCTTAAATTGCTTCTCAGTGGAGGAGGTCATGAGCCCCCAGTGTGGATTTTCCCACTGCCCTGGTTGTGGGCGGGGGGGGTGGGGAATTCCCACCCTTTTGGGGGTATGCAAACCCCTTACTATCTCTCTGAGGTTATGTCATCTCACACATTTACTTACCTCCAAACCTATTTTTTTCACCTTCATCCTCATTGGCTAAGCCCCCACCTCACTGACTTCCTGCTGCTCCTGAAAATGTCAAGCTCTGTCCTGTCCCGCAGCTTCAAACCCTCATCTGGACCACTTTCCTCCTGCTCTTTGCTTCTTTCCTTCTCCACGTCTGAGTTCAGCTTTAGTTCCACAGAGACCTATACAGACTCCCTTCCACCAGCCCTTCTTTCCCAAAATCCCATGGCCCTCAGAACTTTCACACAATCTGTAACTACCTCTAAATCAAACACTTTACATGCCCCACATCCATGTACTAAAAGTATCCAATTGCCTTCCTTTTCATATTTCAAGTTTTGACAGCAGGCTTATTTCTTTCTCTTGCTGCTAGATAATACAATGTATCCTTAAAATTGGACCCTCTTTAACTGCTGAGAGAAATTTCTACAACAAATTTTCCTCTCTTTTCTTGCAGTGGAAGGAACTCAAATACTCTTTTACACCATAAACTGTCTTTGTGAATGTGAGTTCTAATAAGAGTGCTATGGCTGCGGCACAGTGCTTGCACAGGGCCGCCACCTGGAGCACCTAGCTGGCCAAGGGCAGATTAAGAGACTCTCAGCCAAGGTGGAGGCATACATAAACCCACTTCACCTCCACACACAACTCTAGCAAAAATTACAACTAAACCACAAAACAAACATCACCCAGATATGTTAGATAATCCACTGTATGGAAGTCCAACAAGCAAGGATTTAAAGAAGCCACATTCACCCAGACAGATGCCTTTTCTACAATAGGCCACACTACTACGACAGGGAGTCAAAGCAGCTCTACCTCATACACAGAAACAAACACAGGGAGGTTGTCACTTTGAGGAGACAAAGAAATATGGCCCAGGTGAAAGAACAGAACAACTACAGGAAAAGAGCGAAATAAAGAAAAATCCACAGGGAACCAACAGTGGAGAGGATGAGTTTGAGATTCAAATCAACAGTCTGAAACATAAGGAAGAAAACAGCATTCAATCAGAATAGCAAGAAGAAAAATGAATTTTAAAAAAAAAACACAAGAATAAAATAAGGAGCCCCTTGGACATCTCCTAACATACCAACATCCAAATCACAGGGGTGCCAGAAGGAATAGAGTAAGAGCAAGACATTGAACACTTATTTGAGAAAAAAATGAAAGAAAACTTACCTAATTTGGTGAAGGAAATAGACATACAAGTCCAGGAAGCACAGAGAGTCCCAAACAAGTTGGACCCAAGGAGGAGCACACCAAGACACATCATAATTAAAATGTCAAAGGTTAAAGATAAAGAGAGAATCTTAAAAGCAACAAGAGAAAAGCAGAGAGCAGCCTACAAAGCAGTTCCCATAAGACTGTCAGCTAATTTCTCAAAAGAAACTTTGTAGGCAAGAAAGGACTGGCAAGAAGTATTCAAAGTGAGGAAAAGCAAGGACCTACAACCCAGGTTACTCTGTCCAGCAAAATATCATTTAGAATGGAAGGGCAGATAAAGTGCTTTTCAGACCAGGGAAAACCAAAGGAGTTCATTATCACCAAGCCATCATTATATGAAATGTTAAAGGGAACTATATAAGAAAAAGATCAAAACTATGAACATTAAAATGGCAACAAATGCACAACTATCAACAACTGAATCTAAAAAAAACAAACTAAGCAAACAAGGAGAACAGGAACAGAATCACAGATATGGACATCATATGGAGGGTTATCAGCTGGGAGGAGAAAGGGAGAGAATAAGGGGAAAGGTGCAGTGATTATGAAGCACAAATCGGCAGGTACAGAATAGACAGAGGGATGTTGAGAACAGTATAGGAAATGGAGAAGCCAAAGAACTCACACGCGTGACCCATGGACATGAACTAAGAGGGGGATTGCTGGAGGGAGTGGGGATAGTGGGCAGAGAGGGACAAAGGAGGAAAAATTAGGACAACTGTAGTACTAATTCATTATAATATATTTAATTTTTTTTCTAATTTTAAAGAGTCTTACAAGACACCAGAAATACAGAAATTGTGTCGTGGTCTATCAAAGTAACTTGTTCTCTATATAGCCTGTGATGTTTAACCACTTGCTTCTGTTAGTAATTTTTCACATTGATAGAAATAGAATTTAAATTGAAATCTCTCTTTCTAAGAGGCATAAATCCTTAAGGTTCTTATTAAGCCTTAGAGGATTATTGAAGGTGGTTCTTTCCCACATCCCCCTCCCGCCCACCCTCCGTGACCACGTTAAATCACACCCTAGGACACTGAGGCATATGGACTTTGTTTAAAGAGTGTTTCAGAGCCTTTGTCTCGCTTCAATTAAAACTTTGATAACTTATTTTTTTAATTGCTTGTTTTCTTACTCACTACATGTCCCTGCTCCACTAAATATATTTCATTTTAGGACAGGATTTTTATCTGTCTTATCTGTCTTTTGTGGCGAGTCTATTCTCACCACAAAATACCATCGAGATAGATAATTTCAGGGTTAATAAATACTGATCAGAGAACTGACACCCGTTAGACAAATGAGTGAATGTACGCACACCCAAGAAGACCAACAGAGCCTGGGATGTCAGTTTCTTCATGCCGAGCCTCAGGGATAAAATCTATTCACGCCTCTGGAGGAGGGCACCGTTTGGGGCTGTTGACCAGACCCTTCCCTTCCCATGGCCTCACCTCTTCTGAAGGTCTATCAAGGTTTCAGGTGGGGTGCTAACAATCATACAACTGATGGAGGATCCTTGGCAGCTAGAGGTCTTCGCCGAGACACTCACATCTGCCCCAGCATTCACACTCGCACCAGTATGCTGTTTCCACGACTCAGTGTAATGGAAGGTGTATGGCGTTTCCACAGCAGCAACTGGAAACAGACAAGGAGGCCTGAGGGTGAGCCAGCAGTCCACTCTGGAACAGCTGGGAAATGGATTGGAAATGGAATGACTGAGTCCTAGCCTGCCCCAACTCGCCTACTCAATTAAATCTCTCAACTGAGAAGCTAACTCATCAATAAAGAATATGTTGAGTTTAAATTACTCCTGAGAACAAACATTTGCATGCACTCAGGGGCTGGGATGATGTCCTAACCCAAAGGAATGATGGCATCCCTTGCACCCGGGGCCAGGAGACCCACGGCATCATCTTTCCCGGCACAGTGTCAGCCCCAGGAGGCAGCTCACAAAACAGAACATGTTTGTGGTTTGGACCAAGACAGACTGGGTTTGAGTCCCAGTTCTACCAGTTCCCAGCTCTGTAACCTGGAACAGATTATTCTCTAAGCTTTCATTTACTGCTGTGTAAAATGGGGATCATGTTCCTGACTCAAGAGGCTGCTCTCAGTATTAAAGGAACCTGGGTCATAATTGGAAAGTGCTCAGATACTCTTCTTTCCTTGTTCCTTGCTCATAGGTGAGGCCAATCCTGTGTGGGTGTCTCAGCAGGATTTGCATTCTGTACCCTCTTCTCTGCACCCTTGTTTCACAGTCCTCCCCTCCTAGGCCCCTGGCTGACAATACCTGGGATGATAACACTTGGTTCGAGGACGTCCTTGAGGGTATAACGGAGTGGAACATCAGATACTGTCCAAAACAGTGAGAAAGACTTCTTCCTCCGTATTAGAGAAAACCGACGTATTGTGTCGGCATTCGTGATGCCTATGACAGGCCTGAATTCTTTGTCTCCAATCTCTTTGACCAGTTTCTTGACGGCACTCTCAAACATGGAGGGCATGTTGCTAGGAGCAGACAGAAGGGAAGCAGAAGGATCAGGTGGGTCTCACAGATGAATTAAATGAGTCTCCAGGTGTCATGTAGAGGGAGCTGACAGTGACTTGACTATCTCATAGGCCTTTGTGACATCTACACAGTGACGTAGCATGCGTGTGCAAGGGGTCCCCATGCAGCTCGAACAGACCCTGTGTCTTCCCTGGACAAGTCTCCAGCAGGACGATCTTTAGTGACCAGAGATGAGACACTGAGCCAGGAGTCCTTGCCCACTCAGGGACCAATGAGCCATTCCTTTGTGTACTGTAAGTGACAAAGGGGAGGTAAATTTCCTTCCGAAATTAAATGTGCCTGCTTGGTTAGGCCACTACAGCCCAGAATAAGCCAGCCAAATTGTGTGATTGTTAGTCACCCCCGAGGACTGATTTTTACATTGTGTGAATTTCTTATGTTTGCTGCTGCTAAGCCCATGCTTTTTAAGATGTCATAGCATCTTGCTGTGCCTGAAATAAGCAAGAGTAGCCTTCATGAAGATGGGCGTGAGATAGTTGAATAAATAGCCAGAAGCCTGCATTGCTATACCAAGTGGACTGTGATTCAGCACAACATTATGGACTGCCCCATTTCTCCTAAGCATCAGAAGCCTGGTGGAGGTGGTCATCCCTACCCAGATGGCACCCCCATTCCACTTTTAAACACTTTCAGTGTCAGGCAGATGGCAGAACTGGACTTTTCAACCCTCCGTCCTCCAGAGAAATACCGGTTTTGACAACCACCCATGGCCAAGGGCACCTGTGCAGGAGCCCGGAGTCCAGCGGGAGGTCCCGGCACTCCCTCAGAGCACATCCTGGAGGGATGCACTGAAGAGAGGAAGCAGAGCCATGTCCTTTCCCCCCACACCCCTCCTCCGAGGCTGCACAGCGCAGGCCAAAGCTAACCCCTTCACCCATGACGTCTCCCACGGAGGAAAGTGAGAGCCCAGTGAGCACCCAGCTCCCCCAGCTGTGCAGGGCACCTCAAAGAGGCCTGCACCTCCTCTGTCCCACCCAAACAGGGAGACAGGTTGGCATGGCTGAAGACTCTGAGGTCAGGTAGATGTCTATCAACAGATGAGCAGATAAAGAAACCTGGCATGTGTGTACACCATCACACATGATTCATATGTATCAGGAGAATATGACTCAGCCACAAAAAGAATAAAATCTTGGCATTTGCAACAATGTTCATGGACTCAGAAGTAATTGTGCTTGGTGAAATAAGGCAGACAGAGAAAGACAAATACCATATGCGTTCACTTATGTGCAATCAAAAAAAAGAAGAAGAAATAAAACAAAACAAACAAACACACAGATAGAGAGAATGAGCTGACAGTTCCCAACCGGGCGGGGATGAGGGTGGGTGAAAACAGTCACAGATACATCCCTTAGTCTTGCATGTTGTTGCCCAGAATTCTTCTTTACTAGGGAGAACTTCAGGAAGAGTGCCTACTTTGGGGGCGGGGAGGTGTCCAAGTGAAACAAACCCCAAACTCCTCCATCACTTCACAAACCTACCCTGAACACATCTGTCTCTGACCTCAGTATCTTCCCTTCTTCCTCACCCCCTGGTTCCCAGTCAGGACTTACCAGGTTGTGAATTGCTTTGTTTTACAGAGAAAGGTTCCAATGTGTGGAGCTCCTCCCAGTCTGCAGAACACCTGATTCTGACAAAATTCAGAAAATAGAGAAATGTTACTCTCCTCAGCATGTCTTCTTTGCACCAGCAGGTCCCTGACTTAATCTCCAGTACAGTGTCCTGGGAAGTAAGCACGTGAGGGTCTCCCCAGCAGACCAGGTCTGGAGCTGAGCTCTGGATCATGCAACCTTACCTCTCAAGTCCTCAGCCAAAGTGTCTGCACTGGAATCAGGTGGCGCTTCTGTCTGCGAGGAGGTCCCACAGCAGAGTGCAGAGAGGTCCCAGGAAGCAAAACGTGCCAGGTCCTGATCCAAAGAGAACAAGTCTGATGTGTGGATTCCCTCACAAATGAGTGATTGCAGGAACAACTGGTTTGGCTTCTTTTAAAGCTGGGCCCCCTAGGGGTCAAGTGTTTCCTCACCTCTCCTGTTATCTCAGAGGCTGTTATCTCCCCTGTTATCTCAGTGTTTGTTCTCTCTCCTGTTATCTCTGCTTTACCCACTGTGCATTATGGCCAGGAAAAGAAGTTAAACAAATTTGCTCTCAAGTGCTCTTGGTCAGGAGATAAGGCCTGGTGTGCAGTTTACCAGCTGGTTCTAAATTGCTCAAATTGTTTGTCCTGGTTTAATTTTCCTGTCTCAGTTTTTCTTGTCTCAGTTTCCCCTTCCACTTGCCCAAGAACTTTACTAGCTTCTTACTGTCCTTTCTCAATACACCATCTAACATGCACTGTATGTACAATGTAACCATGGATCAACAAGCAAGAGACCCACATGGGGATGGCCATTGCCCAGTCACATCACTTCCTTGAAAACTCTCCACTAGTTACCTTTCTAGCTTAGCCCTGTTCACAGGTTTTCACAGAGGCCCCTTCTCTCGGGCCCCTCCCTGCCCCTCCTTGCCTCACTCCTGCTTCTCTGTCTCCCCTTCCTCCTCATACGTACATAGCAATGTCCTGATTCTTTCTAAGAAACACAGGCTTAAGAAGTCATGACACAGCGCTCTTTCGTACCTGTTGGCCCTACAGGCAGCACAGACCAGGATCTGATCCCAGTTCATCACCTCCAGCTCCAACACCCTGCCCCATCCACCCTCAACTCCTGCTTGGGTCATTGCAGTCCCCTGACCAGACTCCCTCCTCCTGCCCTTACTGCCTTACTGTGTCTGCGGTCCACATGGCAACCACAACATCTTTTCAAAACATGCAGCATGTTTCATTAGTGACTTCAGACCTTCGCAGTTGCTGCAAAGCCCACCTAAAAGTCATGACAAAGTCATGACAATGATTGACAATGGTCTGCACACACTTGCCCTTGATTTCCAATGAACTCTCTCACTCACTCCACCTGTTTCTATGCCAGGCCAGGAGTTTCTGCCTCTACAGCCTAATTCCTAATTCCTCCACCTGGAATCTTTTCCCCAAAATAACTGCAGAGTTCATTTGCCCTTGCTTTAGTTTAAGTCCTAGTTCAAAATTCACTTCTCAGTGAGGCCTTCACTGCCTAAATGCAACCAATCTCCAGAACTTGTTCATCTTGCAAAACTGAAACACCCTAGCCGTTAAATAACGACTCCTCATTTTCCCTCCACCTCCCCATCCCTGGCCCAACAACCACTGTTCCACTTTCTATTTCTCAGAGTTTGACTCCTCGAGATGCCTCATACATGGTATTTTCTCTTTCTGACATGCTTATTCCACCGAACATCATGCCCTCAACATTTATTCACATTGTAGCATATCTCAGAATTTCTTTCCTTTTAAGGCTGAATAAAATTCCATTGTATGGACAGAACACATTTCGTGTACCCATTCTTTTGCTGAAAAACATTGGGGCTGCTTCCATCTTTTGGCTCTTGTGAATAATGCGGCTATAACATGAGTGTACAAATATATCTCTAAGACCCAAGTTTCAGTTCCTTGAGATAAATACCCAAAGGTGGGATTGCTGGGTCTTATGGTAATTTTGTTTGTGTTTGAGGAACTGCCCATACTGATTTCCGTAGTTGCTGTATCATTTTATGTTACCACCACCGAGTGCAAAGGGTTCCAATTTCTCCACACCCTCACCAACACTTATTATTTTCTGCATTTTACTGCTTTTCTTTGTGGCAACCAGTTGAGTTCAAGAGGTTCCAATTTCTCCACATCCTCATCCACACTGGTTATCTTCCTAATTTTTTTTTCTAGCAACCATCTGAATGTGTGAGATGACATCTCATTGTCGTTTGGGGTTGTATTTCCCTAATGATTAGTGATGCTGAGCAATGTTTCAGGTGCTTGTAGTCCATTTGATTATCTTTTTTGCAGAAATGTGTATTCAAGTCCTTTTCCCATTTTTAATGGAATCATTTGTTTATTATTGAACTTCAAGGGTTTTTCTGTTTTGTTTTGTGTTTACTTCATTGATAGAAGTATTTTAAGGACAGATGTCATGACATTTTATCCCCAAATACTCCAGTAGACATCCCCATAAAAATAAAACATTTCCTGCATAATCATTGTATATCTTATCCTATCTACCAAACTAGTAATTCTAACTCCCAGTTGATAATCATTTCACCCATTAATTTTCAACATATCCTAACCTTCCTTCCTGCCCTGTCATTGGTGATGGCTTTGAGGCCTTCCTGAGCCTTTTGAGCAGCCTTGGTTTGGGGCTGGGGAGACACACAGGCTTTCTATTTACTCCTCAGATGGGGGTCAGGGTTCAGTGGAGCCCAAAATCAAGGCGAGAATCTGCCAAGATCTGGAACTCAAATTCTGAAAAGGTTCTCTCCTATTTATCCTGTATGATGTGAAGAGTGTCTGGGTGGAAAAAAAGCCAGAGCAGCAGAGCCAGTTTTATCCCCACACCTGTGGTGCCCACCCTTCCTCCTCCAGGCCAGGTGTGTCAGCTTTTCTCAGGGTGCCGTGGGAGCATCTTGCATCTGAATCACCTGGGATGCTCGAGTAACCTCAGGATCCCTGCCCTCACTCCGTGTTGCCAAGTGCTGGAAACTGCCTAAGTGTCCATCAGTAAATGAATGGTTCAAAAAACTGTGCTACATTTACACAATGGAATACTACACACCAGAAAGAAAGAAGGAATTCCTACCCTTCCAGACAGCATGGATGGAACTGGAGAGTATTATGCTAAGTGAAATATGCCAGGCAGTGAAAGACAAATACCATACTACCTCACCTATAAGTAGGACCTAATCCATAAAACAAACAAGTGAGAAAAATAGAACCAGAGACATGCAAATAAAGAACAAACTGACAGTGACCAGAGAAATGGGGTAGGGAGATAAGGGGGGAAATAAGGGGAAGTGTCAAGTCAGGAAACATGTATAAAGGACCATGAACAAGGACAACAGGGACAGGGGGAGGACTGAATGTGGGACAGGGGGTTGGCAGGGCAGGAGAAAATAATGGGTGAAAATGGGGACTGTTGGGAACCGCCCTGACTGGTATCAGAAACTGAGACCCCCGCCTAGGCTAAGGCTAAGGGAACGCCCTTGGAACCGTGAGCCGGCAAGGAGACAAAAGCTTATCTCCCTGGCAGTAATGCTGTTTCTGCTGCCGAACCCCCAAAAAGCTTGGTCGGTTAGCCAAAGACGGGTAAGATTCCCCACGGGGAACAACCCAAGCCAGGCACGATCACTTTGGGAGGCCCCCCAAAAGAAGGACTTGGGGGGCTGCAGCAAAAGGGGGGTGATGGACCCTCACTCCTCGGCTTTGACAAAGTCTGAGTTCTCAGCGTCCGGAAGAAAATCTCCTTATCTCTCGGTGGCCTTAGTTCCCTTGCTCCACCTAAGCCTCAAACAATGACGGGGAAGTACAGCTCGGTACTGGGAAGTGCGGATTTCCCGGGGTGATCAGGCCTAAGAAAGAACATGTAAATTACTGTGAAACCTTCTTTGTTCAAGAATGCTCTCAGTTGAATGAGGAGGGTCTTAGGAGGAAGCTAGTTTGTTCCTCAGCCTTACAGCTCTTTGACCCCCCAACTCAATAGACCGGCAGAGTTCTTTGTTTTATATATTCCTTACTTCCCCTAATGAGTATTGTACGTTACCTGAGTTATTATGCAAAATGAGCCTAATAAAAGCAGGTATGGACGGTAAATCAGCGCACTCCCCACTAGGGGGGGTGGCCATTCTGTCCCTACTTCCCCACAGAAACTGGTTTGTCTCTGTGCATGTGTGTTTTTTCTCGCGTATTGTCGAGCCATCCACAGTGTGCCGTGGTCACTGCTAGCCGGTGACCCACGCGCAACAGGGGACAAGTGTAGTTGAGCAACAATACAAACATTTAAAAAGAAAATGAATCTCCTGTTCCAAGACCTCTTCTCCTTATATTCAAACCAATAAGTAAATCATAGATATTTAGATTCAAAGTGTCTTCAACTGAAAATTGAATTCTCGTTGATTTTCTATTTCTGATCATTAAAATCAAAAGACACTTCCATTGCATTAGCCAGAATCTATCTAGAAGTGCAAATACTTGCTGAGCATCTGTTAGGTCTCAGGCACTGTGTCCAAAGGGTGCACTTCAAATTTACATGAAATTAAAGGAATACAGGCCTTCTGTGTGCATTGTATCATGCTGCGTGCTGTGAGGTACTAGAGAAGAGTAGGAAAAATACTCCTTAATCTCAAGGAAACGTACAAGTAGTTACTTGGGTGAGGGGTTGGGGGGAGATTTAATACAGACTACGAAGTGGTCATGATCATCACCCATTAAAATTGGTCCTGGAAAACTCTTTGGAAAGGCAACCTTAAATTCTCTCTCCATGGACAGAAGTTTGAGCAGGAGGCAGAAGACAAGATGAATGTTGGCCACGTACAAGAGAATGACCAATGGTAACCGAAGACCTTTGGGAAGTGTTCAGAGTTGGGCTTATATAGAATTTGTGATACGAGGATCTCTTTAGACCAGGATGAGGAAGTTAAAATAGTACAGGCTTTGGAAACAAACCAGTTTAAATCCTGGGTCTACTACTCAATACCTAATAACTGATATCAGGAAATGATGTGAGTGCTTTAAATCTCCAATGCCTAATCTGTAAAATGGAGATACTATTATCTACAACGTAGAATTACTCCCAAAGTTTAAGTGAGACAATCTGTTACAAATTGACCTCATTTTGGCTGCTCACAACTGTCAGATTACTTTGGTGAAGAACGGCCTAGGACAACCGTAGGTAGGTAGGGGGCCATGAATCTATTCCCCAACAATCTTACTTCTGTCTTTTCTATTTTTATTTTTTAATGTAAATAACATTGAATTTTACTTATTTTTGATATATTTTATTGATTATGCTATTACAGTTGTCCCATGTTTTCCTCCCCTTT